GGTTTTGGTGCCCATTATACTATAATCACAATAAGGAGCCCCACAAATAGTAGTATTGGTGATTACATAGGCCTTATCCTAGCTTCTAGAGACCTTCTGGTGGAGTAGGTTAACCCCGAACCCTAAACCCTAAACCCTGAACCCTCAACCCTAAACCCTACCCCAAACCCCAAAACCCTAAACCCTAAACCCTAAACCCCAAACCCCAAACCCCAAACCCCAAACGCCAAACCCCTAAACCCTGGTGGAGTCGGTCAGCATCGCCGGCTCCGGAGGACGGACAAGCTTCAGTACTACCCAGAGACTCCAATACCCCTTAATGAGGAATATACCTTAAATTATAGTAGGATCCCTAATAAGATTTAAGGTATGTTCCTTCATTAAGGGGTATTGGAGTCTCTGGGTACCTGCCTTTTGACATCGGCAATATATAGGGGCCTGGATAAGTACCTATACTATTTTGGGGGGGCTCCTTACCATGATTATTGTAGAATATACCACCAAAGAATCCTACTCTAATTATTCAGGCCCCTACATTAAACCATCACCTCAAAAGCTGCTAAACTGCTCAACCCCAAACCCCCTGAACCCTGACCTCCTAGCCCCTGAACCCCTAAGCCCTAAACCCTAAACCCCAAAGCCCTAAACCCTAAACCCCTAAACCCCTAACCTACACTGCTCTATAATCACAGACCTTACACTGTAGAACTTTCTCGGAGCCCTGACAAGAAAGTGTCTCGAAGGAGTTCCCCCTGAAAAAGCCCATGGAAATTCTGTAATGTAGGGGCCTTCATAATCAGAATAATAGGGTTTTGAGGCCCTTTATACTAGACTTATAATTATAATTCCCTAAACCCTAAACCCTAAACCCTAAACCCTAAACCGTGGAATTATAATAAGGAGCCCCATGAAATTCTGTAATGTAGGGGCCCCAATAATTAGAATAGGCTTGATACTATACTTCTAAGAAGGAACCCCCAGGCTGCTGTGGGAAAGACCCTAAACCCTAAACCCTAAACCCTAAACCCTATTGTTTAGGCTCCTATATTCTTCGCTCCGAGTCCTAAGTCTGAGTGCTCCACGTATTTGGGAAGCGCGGTGTTGATCTGTTTCCTGGCACAAAGCGGTTTAGGGTTTATAAACCCTAAACCCTATAGGGGTTTAGGGTTTAGGGTTTAGGGTTTAGGGTTTAGGGTTTAGGGTTTAGGGTTTAGGGTTTTAGGGTTTAGGAGACAAAGCGTTGAAAAACGTGAAGTCTGGGGTTCAGAATGGGTGTGGGCTTTACTGTATGGGGCCTTAATACCTACAACAGGGTTTTGGGTTTCGGGTTTAGGGTTTAGGGTCTAGGGTTTAGGGTTTTGTGGCATATTCTACCAGATTTCCAAACCTCAGGAATAGTCGTACTTTAAGGGCCTCAACAATGAGAATTGGGTTTGGCTGTCGATTATACTATTAATATAATGAGGAACCCCCCCCAAAACCCTAATTATTCAAGTTAGCAAGGATCTGATAGTATCTATTCAGGCCTTCACCATAAGAGGCATCAAGGCTGTGAGGGCCGCTCGAACACACAGAGGAATCCCGAAACACTTGCAACGAGAGCTCCCTGATTCGGTTCTCGTATGGCTTTCCTTGATAACTAGAATAAGGTTTTGGCTCCTTTATAGCATAATCATAATAAGTAAGCATAGGTAGTTATTTAGGCCCGAGCATGTGCAGACGAGGGGCTCTGGTATGGAGAACCCTTACCATATCCTGATGCAACCATGTATAGTATCCCGTATCCTGGTATTGCCTCTGAAGTTTCGGGTTGCACATTTGCCTAGTGGTTGAGACTTGCAAATCCTGGTCTTGAGTCTGGAGCAAGCCGGAAAACCCGACAAACCCCTTCGACAACTTTGAAATACATGTGTCTCTTTGCTGTTCTCTGGCATTCAAGCGATTCCAAAACCACGAGGAGCTTGTCCACATACCTCCGGGAAGTACAGACCCGGCGCTTCGTTGCGACGACAGCGAAGAGGGCGCCAGAGCTGCGGCAGGTCGCAAGGAAGGGATCAGCTCGCGCCTCCTCCGCATCCGCCTCCTCCACGTCGTAAGGCTCCTCTTTTTGTGGCTCTTTAAGACAAATCAAGCATAGTCCAATCTAAACTAAATCTTATACTAATGTAAGAATATCTGAAGATCTCATGCTTAGCTTGATGCTCCCCTTCAAAGAGAAACCCAGATACAGCTCCTCTAAAAGCTGACGAAATTGGGTGGCTGTGAGCTGCTGCACATGCTTTGTTGCACACTCGGCGAGCAGAGGAACAGCTTCGTCGAAGGGCAAACGGCTTAGGGACGAAGGAAACATCGTACATGCAGCCTCGACAATCGGAAGCTGAACCTGGGCTTTAAGTAACCAGGGAGAACAAAGTATAGACTTTTATCTCATAATGGTTCCTTTAAGGAACAGGTCCCCAAAAAAGTATTTATTAAAGTATGGTATTCCAAAGCCGAGGAACCTTCTTCCCGATGGAACACTGAGAGAGCATGCGGGTGGTTAAGACCACCTGGCCAAGGCTGTTCAGTCGCAGCTGTTCGGATGGGAAGCGCTTCACTCCAGCATCTGCAGCCATATCCGAGGAACGGAGGCCCCAGTAACCCTCGATGTCACGTCTGACCTCTTCCGGCAGCCCCAGGAAGAGTCCCAACGGTGGCTGTGGAGCAGCCCTGCGAGGGCGCACTGGTTGCATCTCCCGGGTTCCGGCCGGTAGCACTGTGGCCGCGGCGGCCGTTGCCGTCCCACTTTGCTTGGAAAGTACCGCTACGAAGAAGCCGCCATGGTGGGCATCCTGGCTCGTGGGCAACACCCGGCGGCACTTGCGAAGCTGCGCCGCTACAGCGTCCGAAGGCGGGAACATGGATTCTAAGGCCCACTTCTGAGGCTCTGAGCACGCAGAAAGCTCTGCAAAAGAGGAATACATCTCACCACTCCTCTCAAAGTGCATGTCTGGTACCTTCCAAGTCGTCAGCCCTTCCTGGAACTCTGGTCCCTCGGCATCTTCCCAGGATTCCACAGCGGCACTGGGGAACTCTATCAGCAGCGCCGCCACAACGGCCTCATCTTCGATTGGGTTCAGCGAGCACGTGGAGTAGACCAGACGTCCCCCAGCTTCGAGGCATTCGAAACCTTCGGGGACAGGGCGCAAACGCTTGACAACTTGACCCTGATATACACTCTAATCTAGAGGCCTCAATAATCGAGGTCCTGGGCTCCTGTATACTGTAGTTCTAATAAGGGGCCCTAAGGAATCATCTTGGTAATGATTTTGGCTTATATAGTATCAACCCGGAAAGCCCTAGCGAAGCCTCGGCGAAGAAGGCCTACTTGGAGGGTGTGAAGAGTGAGCGCTTCCCCAACACACCATGTGCGCCAGTTACCCGGGTTTTTCCGGAGGGTGCCGTCCCCAGAGCAGGGTGCGTCAACCAGGACTTTCCTAGGTCGGACGTTTGGGGCCCCAAAACAACACTCCGAAGAAATACCCCGAAACTGCCATAAGGGAAATGAGCACTTAATTCACTAGAGTTTCTGTGAACACTTATGCCAAATGATCACCTCGAGTTTCTGGAATTTGATCTTGTATCCGTTTCTGCGCCGTAGAGACGGAAACTTTCGGCCATCACAGTTTGTGACCATCAAGCCCTGCTTTCCGCGTCGTCTGCATCGCTGGGCCACAACGACAGCTCTTGGCCGGGAGTAGTCGTTGGCGACCAAAAGACCTTCTCCGTCGCCTTTGCCTGGGTTTAGAAGTTTGGTGTTTAGGGGGGGTTTAGGGGTTTGAAGATTTGCCTTTGCCTGGATGTAGAGTTTAGGGTTTAGGAAGTTTGGTGTTTGGGGGGGGGGGAGGCTTAGGGGTTAAAGATTTGTAGGTTTAGGAGTTGACAGTTTAAGGATTGGGCATACTTCAATATGTTTAGAAAAGGGAACCCAACAAATTTTATTGGCAATATACTGAGGCTTCTATGTTAGCTGGTGTAGGGCTTAGGGACTTAAGTGGGGACATATCAGCAAAAAGGTAAATGCTTTCCTTACAGCAAAACCTCGATCAATTTCTGAACAGGAACCCATGTACAAAGGCCTGAATCACCGGGAATCATATGCCCGCATGGCCCTACAAACTTCTGCCAGTATACCTCGAAACCAATCTCAGGTGCTTGTCATGATGTCCAAAATTTGCAAGGTCTTGGACCCTGGTGAAGCACAAAGGTCGAGCACGGAGTCCTCGCCGAAAAGCACACGCTCTGAGCGCCAAACTCGCGACCCCAATACACCCCCAAAACCCCTAAATCCAAAGCCCTGCATGTTAAGTCTAAGCCCCAAATCATAATCCCGATGCCAGGAGCCGACGTCATCAACTGAACACTCTGAGACCAAAAGAGGACTAAGTCCACAAACACCGGTGCACAGTTGAGGGTGGGGGGGAAACCCAACAGTCGAAACCCCAGAACCTGAAAAGTTCGGGGTTTCGGGTTCTCTCAGGGTCTAGGGTATAGGGTTTAGGGCTCTATCAGGGATTAGGGTTTAGGGTTTAACCCTAAACCCTCAACCCTAAACCCCTAAACCCTAAACCCTAAACCCTAAACCCTGAACCCCTCAACCCCTCAACCCTCAACCCTAAACCCTAAACCCCTCCACCCTCAACCCTAAACCCCTAAACCCTAAACCCCTAAACCCTAAACCCCTCAACCCCCCCCAACCCTAAACCCTAAACCCCTAAACCCCCTAAACCCTAAATGCGCAGTCCTCACTACCCTAAACCCTAAACCCTAAACCCTAAACCCCTAAACCCTAAACCCTAAACCCTAAACCCTCAACCCCTCAACCCTCCA